CGCCTATGAAATTTCTGCCCAGTTCATTGTCACATGGATGATATATTAGACCATACAATGGAAAATTACAAGTTAAGTTCTGGCTCCAATCAAAATATTTGTACCCAGAGCAGAAACCGAAATTTGTGATTTAAAAAAATTACTTCAAAATATAGCCCTGTGTATTATGTAATTGTTTCAGGTGAAGTGGTACGATATATATATCTACACTCCAATTGAACGTTTCACGTCCCCAGTGGTGTCGCGAATTCCTCGTTACATTACATTCGGAGAGCACCAGTATGTGGTGTTTAGTGCCAACATAGTATCCTGGGTGAGAACTCTACTGGTAGTACCAATTGCTATTTATTTGAAGTAAGTACATGATGTATATTTAAAGTATTAATTAAAAATTTTTTTTATATAATTTATGTGCAGTTATGTTTATTTTTATGCATTTATTATTTTTTAATTTATGATTATTTGTTTATAAACATTAAGTTATTATTATTATTATTATTATTATTATTATTATTATTATTATTATTGGTGGTGGTGGTGTTATTGTTGTTGTAATATTTATTAATTTTCTTTTTGACAATTCTGTTTGTTCTGTCAGATTTCTTTTGCCAGATTTATTTTAGTGGTTTTCATTATCTCATTGTCATATGTCTTGTAGTAGTTAACAATTTTAAACATCATCTCTATAAAGTGTGCTTCTTTCAGTTTGCCTTTGTTCGATAACAGTTAGCCCTTTTTTAAAGACCTAATTTTAACATTAAAACATTTTCACCACTGCCTGCCTAGTATCAATGACAGCTTGATGTTATTATATCACCAGCTGGGGATATTTATATAATTATAATATAAATATATGATAATAATATAAATATTATGAGTACATGTTGTTTTAATTCCCTTTCCTGTTATGACAGCTAACTAAAGATTTAAAAATGAAATTGCTGAAGTAAAAAAGTAAGCAATTATTTTATTGATTAACCAAAATAAATTAGTGTTTGTAACTGGTAGTGATAACTTATTGTGTAAAGTATGTGATAACATGAACCTAGCATCCACTTTTCTTTTACTTCATCTTGAGATGTGACCTTTTCTTCCATTTGAACTAATTTTATGGTATGTCTTAAATCCATTTAAACTTGCCTATTATTTTGTTTTTTTTCTCATTTGTTCATTATTAAATTATCCTAAATGGCTATTTATTTTATTTTTCCTTGCTGTTGTTACGAAATCTTTTTCAGCTACGGTATTTTGGTTGACTTAATTTTCATGTTAAATAACAATTACTTGAAGAACCCAGATTTTCTTTCACTTCTGATTTTAGGTGTGGTCATTTTTCAACATGCTTCTGGCTGGTCATTTTGCATGACTATCTTGACCATGTGGATGGTATAGTAGCCAGGGTTCAGCGAGAGCACTATGGTCCTGTTGACGACCCAATTTTGGGTGGTTTCATGGATGCATTCTGTGATAAGGTACTGTAACAGAGGCATCTCTTTTTGCTCTAAGAATATGTGTATCATAAACTCAAGAGTTTCTGAACAATTATAAATTAAATATAAAATATTTTGTGCGCCATCCTCTAGTGTGTCAGTGTTTTCAAAGCAGGTTAATCTCTGAAATTAAGTTACATTGTGTTTTAATGTACCATTATAAGTTACTGTACATTGTCATTTTGTGTTTGCTGGAATACTTTCAAATTGCTTTCTGCCTGGGAATGCATTTCTTTTTATCAAATCCTCAAATTTATTCATTGTTCAATCCAGCCATGAAAAGTCAAAATTATCACGTTTAATTCATGTCGCAAGCTTTGATTCTTTATCACACAAACTTCAACTATTACTGTATTATATCATCACCTTATTTAAGGTGTTTCATGTTTTACTGACATCAGTGCCAAAGGAAAACATGTTATTCATAATTAAGTACAGTAACTGATACAGAAATAAATAGTATCAGAAATAAAATTGTTTTACTCATGATGACATCTAATAATTGCATTATGAAAGATAATTCATAGTATTGCAATTGCAAAGCACAATTTTCAGCTGTTAAACATTGAATGGCAGCTGGCAAAGAGATGGGCACAGTTTAAACCTTGATAAATTAACAATTAAGTGATTAAATGATGATTACGAACAAAGAATGAATAAATGACATTTGACAGCACTGTGTAATATAATGTAATTACAGAAGTGTTTTCTGTTTGATGCTGCAAATATTTCAGGATTGCCCAAAACATGGCATATGACCAAGGATGGAAATTCAAACTTCACCTCAGTCCAAAAGTTGCAGTCACATTTAGGTAGTCAGGCAGTCGCAGTCATGCTATGCCGTTGGATATCTGAGATGTGATAGTCACTTTTATTACATGTGGTGAATTAATCACTCTTTCTTTGTTTTCTTTTACATGTAGTCTATACGCCAAGCTCATATATATTGCCTGCATGTTCGGTACAATTTAGGATAATTATGGCAAATTTGATGATGTTTTACTGAAAAAATATTCATTGTTTAGATCTATAATTTTTTGACAGCCTGATGAAGGTTTTGTCTAGTTTTTACCAAGACTTGCTCCCAACTGTCAGTGATTTTTGCTGATTACTAACAAGTTAAACAATGTCTACATGAAAAGTAGAAATCTACAAAAGGACTGTCAAGAAAGTACTTTCTCAACAGTGAATATTTTCATCTGTATAACTAGCTACAGAACCAATGAAATTATTTTCTCATATGTTGATGAAACAGAGCAAACTTTTGAAGATTAAAAATTGCATACAATCATGTTATTACCCCAGTCACCATTTGTCAGAAGGCGCGTTTACTCCATGCCGTACTTGAACTGGTAATAGTCCAAGTGATGTCTCCAGATAAGACTATTGGTTAACAAAGAATTTGCATTTAGATTTCTAGGACTCGGAAGTGGTTCTCAAATATGATCATTTGTTGGGACGCCAGTTTGACCAAGTGCTATTTAAGTTGGACCTTGTCTGAACATACAGTCAGAAGGAAACTTGACTGGATTGTCTTTGATTTTTGGAATTGTTATATATTTTCTCTCTGTATATAAACATAACGTTTTTCCATGCAGATGTTTTCCAAAGTAATATAATAACAATTAGATTGTTTGCAATGATAAATGTTATGAGAAAAAATACTGTAAGGATTTCTGAATTGCTTTTAAACCTTTTGCAGTTACTCTTCAACAGTGTTCTTTTTAATTCTACAATAATTGAAAAAGGATTAATGAACATCGTAGTAAAAGGATATACATGCACACATCATGTTATCGCAAAACATGTTTGCAACAAATGTACACACAAATTCTGCCCAAAAATAGTTGTTGAATTTTGGAGTTACTTACTACATGGCTGAAAGGATGTTCACTTTGTCTCTGCCATTGCAAATTATGGAGAGAGCCTCTGAAACAAACTTTAAAAGGAATTAAAGGCAAGATATATTAATGAAAACGTAATAGCTCGTGCATACTTTGATAGTACATTATTTTGGTAAAAACTTATAATCATGTTAGCACAGAACAAAACAAGACCATACATTTAGAACAAATTATTACTGCAGTTTGGCAGATTAAGAAACAGATGACTTAACTATTCATACCAGCTAATACCATGTTAATTTCTCCTGTCATAGTTAATTTATAGTGATTAGTATATTTCTGTGTCTGGACATCAATCTTCTCCTCATATTGTGTAATTCAAGGGTCCAAATTCTTAGGTCTGTTCAATATTAATTGTTCTGATGATCAAAATTGGAACTATGGCAGTCTTTTTTTTTTTTTCTTTTTTTTGTACATGCTAGCTGCATGGAAGCAAAATGGTTTCTATAGTTCTTGATAATGTAAGTGGGCATTTATTAATACATTACATGTAGGTATTTGGGGTAGGTGTAAGAGAAAGGAGTGTAGAGGAAGGGCAAGTAATTTACCAAGTTAAAAGGTTTAAACTGTGAGTATAATTGATTATAATGGACTGCTGCTCCAGTTTAAGACAAACACTGCCCTATGTTATATAATTTGATGGAGTACCTGCCTTCCTGAAGGAAATTTCCTTCACACAAAGATGATTTAATGACGTTCCAGTATAGATTTTCGTTGTCTAAATTAATTGACTTAATTGCCATGTATAAGTGATGTTTGCAGTCACGTACTTAATTTGTTGTTTGTTCAAAATACATTTATTACATTAAAATATAAATTGGTCATAATGAAATTGTTGTACTCATAATTAATGTATGCAGTAATACACACCTGTATATTTCTACCAGTAGATTATGGCTATATATATTCATGTACGTAGTATATTATACTACCAGTAGTATGTCCCAAAATGCTACCCTGATACACAATGAATCATCAGTTGAAAAAAACATACCTGTATTTATTTGAAGTTCTTGTTACATATCTGGATTTTTCCAGCACCATACATAAATGTGCAGTTACGTTTCAGGTAAATGAGCTTTAAAAAGAAAACTGAATTTCACACCCACGATTCTCTGAAAATTTGCAAGTTAAATGAAATTAAGGTTATTGACACATTAAAAATTGGGCTTCTGTAAGCAGTATGTTTTGCTTTGTGTTAATTTATATACATGTAAATGCAATACCACTATATGCAAAGATAACATAATATTATACAGTACATACTAGTATTACAATATACCAGGTTTGTAACCTTTTTATAATTATGATACTTTGATTAATCAAAATGAGAAACAGAGAACAGACCAAACCTGTTTTCAAGGCAATGTTGGATAAACTAAAAAAAAAAAATTAAAAATATTATTTGAGGGGACAGATGGTGACTTTGGTAAATATTCTATAAAAGTTGACAATATGTTTTACAAAGTTAATAGCATGCACACTTGTATACATGTTTTGCCCATAATAAAGCATTATAATATTATATGACTTTTGGCTGGGCTGTCGCAGCTTTTCAATAATCTGCTAAATTTAATTTAATTACAAGTATGTGATTACCTAATTTTACTAATTTACTTATGTTCTTATGAAATAACTTCAGTTAAAATAAATAAATGAAGTATATGCCAGAGGTACTCCATACTACTACTTTGTGATTATTTTAATGAAGATTTTTTCACTTTCAGATTGTCAATGTATTTGCACTGTGGACTATCCTACTGGTGTCGGACTTCAGCCTGCTGACCCCTGCCCAGTGTTGGGTTCTTTTCTTGTCCTGTGCAGTCATCATAGTCTATGAATTCACACTAGGTGTAGTCAGAGTTCAGGACTACTTCCATGCCCACTATGCCAGGTAAATGATGTTCATTATACCTAACCTCTGAACTCACCGTGACCTACGCTCCATACTTGTAGAGTCTGTTCACAATGCATGAATATAGTCGGGGCACTTTTCACATCAGGGACAGCTCCGTGTGAAAAAGGTTCACTATACCAAGGTTTCACTATTCTGAAAAATCTTTCTGTAAAATCAGTTGTTCGCTATGACGAGGGTTGGCTATTCCGAAAAATAAGATTGCCATAGCTGCTCTTCACCAACTGCATTATTTGTTGCATAATCATGATGAGCACCGACCTTGTTAGGAGTAACATTTTTTTTTTAATTCTCTTTTTGTATGTTTAACATATTACTTAATTTACCAATATGTGGGACAATTATAAATTATTTTACATTAAAAATAAAGTGTATTTTCTTCAAAGTCTTTGTGCTCTATATATAGGTGTGTTTCGGATTCAACCTTCATAATAGCAGACCTTCATCGTAGCAAACCTTAATCGTAGTGGACCTTCAGCATAACGAACCTTCATCATAGCGGAAGTTACGCGCAGCGAACCTGCTTGGAAGTGATTCATGCAGTTGTTATGCACATGTACATCATCAGCTAAATTAGCTAAATTTACACTCACTGATGTATTTTTGATGTGACAGCATAATCTCACAACATGACTGTTTATTTCCAAATAATCAAAGTTCTGGTGTCAAATGCCTTTAAATTCAGATATTAATGTTACATGCTCAGGTATACAATATCTCACTATTAGAGTTGCCCTTATCATACTAAGTGTAGTTACCAGTTGCCTGAATCATCCTTCTATCAAATGTTAATTCACAAATATATTATATTATATTATATCTCTTTTATCCTTGCTGCTGTAAAATGTAGGTTGAACAAAAAATTCAAGAAGCAGCAGCCGTTTGCTACTGCGGCAGTAATGGAGGGCAAACTGAAGGAGAAGCTCGAATCCCTCGGCATCGCTTTCCTGGCTCTGGCGCAGGGAGCACATGGAGTGCTGAACTGTTGGTGTAAGCTGGATTCTGTTGTTATCGTCAGATATATATGATCTGGAATAAACTAGTGTGCATTATCATTTACTAGTACTTTGAAAAAATAAATAAGCTACAGTGACTTTTAATTGATTGATATTCGATGTTTTATGTTCTTTCGGTCCTAATTAACTGAAGCCATGAGCAAATTGTGATTATAACTTTACACTGTTCCCTACTGGGCTGCTAATAAATATGTAGTCAATGTGGCTCATTGGTTGTAAAAACTGTATGTGGCAAAACACAAAATATTCATTAGTAGGTTTTGGAATGTAGGTGTAAGACAGGGGAAAATGTTAGTTATGCTCATAAAAGTCTGTGATAGTTAGGGAGCCCTTATACTAATAAAATTTAAAAAATACGCAAAAATTGCAAAGGGTTTGCAACATTAATTCTCTTTGAGATAATTTTAATCTATTGGCCCATTCAGAACAAGTTGATCTGCAGACTAACTAAGATCTGCAGATCAAATGTGGCTGATCCACTTGAAAGCTTGCCACATAATCCCCTAATAGACACTGAATAGATTCTGCAACCTTGAAGTGGGTTAGCCATATTTGATCCCAGGATCTGTTAGTCCACGGATCAACTTCGGTTGTTAATGCGGCCTATGCCTACTTAAAAAAAAAACAGTTATTTTCTCCATGCAGCTGGAGTTGCCGGAGTGGTCTGCCTCATACTTAGCATTCGTCTGGCACATGCCAGTTTGAGCAGAAAGTTAGAGGCTCGCACAAAGGAAACCAAAGGGAACAAGTCACACCACAAAATTAATGCCAGTTTAGCTGCAATTGATCTTCATGAGAAAGAGGGATGCTCCCACCGACCCCTGTATAACGATGATGGGTCTAAGAAAGTTTATCACAGAAAGGTGAGGGTAATAATTGATAGTATTTTTGCAACTCATTCTATGATTTTATCATTTTACGATATGAACACATTCTGTTTTTCTGTAGTAATTTGTAAAAAAAAAATTGAAGCCAAGCTGTCTTTGTTTTTTAATTTTGCATATTATAAATCGTATATATATATATATATTTCTCACCCATTTTAAGTATAATCTTCTGTAATAGAAGCATTAAACCAATTCATTTAAAAAATCCATTATCATGAAAATACATTTAACAGATCTGATTCTCTCAGTGAAATGTTTGAAATTTCCATTTTAGAAACGTCCAGACGGAAAGCACAAAAAGATTGAGGAAAGTGAAGATGTTTTCAGAGGTAAAGATCAGGAAGGGGCCACAGAAAACTTCTCACAACTGACTTACAGCCCAGGCAATACAGGGGTGTCCACCTTTGAGTCAGAGACAGACACTGAGGCTGACACCAGGAAGTTCAACAGGTGGAAGACCGGAACCAAAATGGAGGACCAAAGGTCAGTCAGCGCACAAGTTAAACCAGAGGATTTCATTAATGATGAGTCAGGTGAGAAACAATGAGTCAGTTGAGAAATGGTGTGAAATCTTAAGGTATAGTGAAGTCATTTTGGTGAATTTAATATATAGAAATTTTTTAATGGAAGGAAATTATACTCTGTCAAATTCAAACTTTCGAATCATGTTTGTGGTTAAAAAAGAAGAAACTAGATTTTTTGATGCTTATTAATTTAAAAGCAGGATTAGCAAAATAAATATTAAAAACACTGTAACAGTTGTTAAAATGTATGTTGTAAATGGACATTAATGTGAAAGTCCAGATTTATCAAAGGGGGAATCAAAATTACCTAAAATTAATTCATTCTTTTTTTTTTTCAATTTTATCACTATGTATAATAATTTTTTATCTTTAATATTCTTAGGCAATTCCACCACAAGTAATGACTCAGCATTTGTTAAAGATGAGAAGGAATCTGATAAGTCAAGTGGAAGTGGGAGCAGTGGAAAGAAAGGGTCTGTCTATTTATATTGATGTGTTATGTTCATTATTTTGCTTTGCTGAACACATGGTAACATAATACAGTACATTTGTCAGTTTTACCATCTCCATAATGTGGTTGGGAGGGAATTGAGATTTTAATTTTTTTTTTATTGTTCACTTTCATAATAATTTAGGAAGTTAGTGAAATTGGGGTGTCTATTTGTCTGTCTGTATTCCATCTGTTAGAAAACATTTGGCTGTCTTCTCCAATACTATTCTGTTCAACAAACCTTTCCATTCATGAAAGTTTAAACGTGTAGTAGTGTAACAGAATAATTTATTTCCCAATTGTGCAAATACTTCAGTATTCTTTTATCCAAAGTCTGAGATGAAAATACCTTTCCAAGTACAGGTAAATACATCTTTTTACAACAGACACTTTGTTGGGAACATAATTATAATATTGATTTATTCATTTGAATAGAAAAAAAATCATTTAAACAAGGCAGAAATTAAATGTAACTATCATTTGATGAAAGACAAATTACTTAATATAATATTAAGTAATTATAACCTTAAGGTTGAGTATCATAAAATGATGTCCTTGATAAAACTACCCTCTGTATTTTCCTTCAGTTGTAGCAATGCTGAGGGAGAGACATGATCATTTTCGTGATTGTTCAAGTCATTTTTGTTTTATGTTGCTGTGTTTTACGCATCTACACAAAAGCTGCAAATTGTTTAAATGAGTCAGAATGATACATGTAGATTGATACTATTTCTTTTTACAACTCAAAGATTAGATATAATTTTAAAAATATAAAATGCTTTTTTGATAGGGTGTCTGCCTCTTCTCTTAGACTTATATATTTTTGAAAAAAAAATGGTTAAAAAAGTGTTAGTTTGTGCCTGATGGGCTGTAGTAGATGCTATTGAGTAGATTCATTTTTTTTAATTGATCTCATCTTGAACTGGTGTCCTCTGTTGTTCAATACTTGCAGTTACATGTACCATGGTATAAAAGTAAGGCTCAGATGTGCTCATCAGTGCAAACTCCATAGGTATATTTATCATATATGCAAGCATATGCATCTTTCACCAAATCCAATTTAGCAATGTGTTATTGAAATATTAGAAAAATGAAAATGGTTTAAAATTTTTATCAATTAAGTCAATGATTTGGTAATGCATTGATGGAAATAACACCTTAATGAATATAGAGATTTCTGTTGTAAATATACTAGTAAAGTTGACATAGACAAAATTGAGAAATTTTGATGAAAATCAAAATAATTTGATCCTTTCTAGAAATAATTGCTTTATGAATTTAAAAGCAAGCACTGCATGCAGGGAAATAATTTCTATCCCACCTATAAATATCTGAATTAGATTCAGTGGCTCACAGTAGTCAGTTTCCTTCTCCAACCATTAGCTCAGACATTAAAATATTTACCTTAATCATGGTAGTTAATACAGATCATCATAGATAGCCCAGAGGCTAGCAAATTTAATTTGTGTTTGTAATCAAGCAAGATTTTGGAGAGTGAGATCAGAAAAAGTGACAAACAGACTAGTAACTGAGAGTTGGCAAATTAACATGTATGAGTTAACAGTATTTATCCACAAATATTTTCCTGGTCATTTTTCTCTTGATTTACAGTCTATAAATTGCACAAAAGTTCAGCCTTGCCTTGTTTTGCCTATTACTTAATTTGTATTGCTTTGAAGTTTTTAGTCAACATTTCCAGAGCATGCATAGAATTTTACCCTATCCTTGGAAATTTTACCCACATCACAGGGATATAACATTCTCTGGAATGAACTGCCACTGCACGTGTGATCAGCTACTGTTTTAAAGAATGTTGACATTTTTAAATCAAATCTAAATTTTTTTAAACAATATTATAATGATTATCAATTTTTTAGACTTTCATTATTCATTGGACATGTTTAATCTTTGATTTCTGCTACGACTAAAGAATTTTTAAACATTTTAATAATAATCTAAGTTTGGGTCTTCATCTACACAAGTCATTTTTCCTTATAACTGATATTTGCAGATGGCATGCTATTATATAGTTGTACAAGCACTGAGAAAAGTATATGGAAAGTGGTTTGAAAGAACTTATAATTATTTTTCTTCCACTTCAGAAAATACTCAACAGGGTCTGACACGGAGGAGGATGAGAAGGCCCTCTACCGCATCCGGCGTCGCTCCCTGCCAAACATAGATATAGATGGCAGGGTGGACAAGGTGTACTCCATTGGTTGTTTTGATCTGTTCCATAGGGGGCATGTGGCAATACTGCAGAAGATGAGAAATATGGGTAAACAGGTGAGGCACTATATGGTAAATGACTGGGTCCTTTCCATGGAGAAAATTGTAAATTTAACAGCTACCTAAGCAATTTTTTGTGTCATAAATTCTTATAATTAGAACTTTTCTATTGAAATTAGTGGTAGTAACAAAACTGAAAAGCAGTAACATGTAGGTTACCCAACAGTTAATATCAATACAGAAAAAAAGCACCAATAATTTCTATATACATGTACTTAGGGTAAAATATAGTTTTTAAATATTGATTTCAAAATTTTGTACCTCAAAGATTCCTTAGTAAGAATTAAAATTAAAAATTAATAAAGTTTCTAAAAACAAGTAACTTCAGCTTAAAAGATGTTATATATTTTTACTAGGTTATAGTTGGTGTTCACGACAGCCGCAGCTACTATAAACTGAAGAACAAAGTCCCCATTGACCCAATAGAAAAGCGCATGTTGAATGTAAAGCAGTATGCAGATGTGGTATGAGAAAGAAATTCAGTGCTTTCTAATTGCTGTGTTACATGTAGTCCTGACAAGTGTTTTTGGTACATTGTACAAGCAACTGTGCAATCTCTTTGAAGTTCTTTTAATACAGATAAATGTCATGTTTATGCAATATTTAACTTAGCACCAATCATAATTTACAAAATTTCTTAAAGGTAACCAAAATGCTTCAGCACTGATTAATTGGTGTTCTTTTCCTGAATTAATCCTAAAAAAAAAGAGACCTCAACTGTACATTTCTTGATGAAGTCACAAATACACATTTCAGGTCTACTGCATTACCAGCACAGATCCCTCCAACTTCATCTCGTGTATTGTGCACCTGTGTGAGGGGGAGACCGCCCTCTACATCCGCGGGGATGACATGCAAAACTTCCCCTCCCGCCACGTGGTGGAGGCCCTGATGCCAATACGCTTCCTGCCCTATACGCAAGGTGTGAGCAGTACCAAGATCCGTAAAGAACTGTTTGCCAGGATCAGGAGAGATAGCAATGAGTGGCTGAGTGACGGAGCAGTCTGAATGAAAGTCGCTGACATTATTAGGTGACGATACAGGTGTCCTTTGAGTGAAAATGATTATTATATCACATGTATATAAATATATACCAGTATACAAGTATAATAAATTATGGCTCTTGCATTTGGTATTTATCTATAATTTATACAATAGCAGATTCAGAAGAACTACCTGCAGCAGTCTGCATATGAGTATAGGAAATACTTGCTGCTGCTCGCTTCTAGTCCATGTCTTTTGGCTTGTGCTAGTCTTGCTATGATCATCATTTTTACATGATTTTATCAAATGCTTTTCACGTGTGATGTATTTCTATAAGCACTGTGGCCAGTCTGAAGTTTTTTGTTTAAATTACTGAATAGAAAAAAAATAATCGGTATACAAGGTATATTGAAGTACACATTTCAAAATAATTTAAAGGTCTTTGCTCAAATTAATTAGAATACTGGTATGTGACAGTGTTATTTGAAAGCAGGTTGTGACCTTAATTTTACTGGTTTTCATGACTAAGTTTTTTCTCAATCAGGGGTCATACTGTTATGTGTTGTTTACAAATGATGTAAAAAATATAAAACTATTCAATACATGTACATTTCATTTACAGTTGAATTTCACTAAATTATTTTACAATATACCTTTTATTTATATACACATACTCTGCTGATTTTTTACATTTGCAATAAATATCAGTATTGTAAATAAGACAGGGTAATTGCATTGCATTCCCTGAAAAACATTTCTAAATCAATAATGAAATCTTTGGAGAATAATGTGCCTGTTATTATAATAACATTCAGATTATTGTGGAACAGCAATTATCTTTGGTGAAAAAGAAAGAGATTGCATTTTATCACTGCATGTTGACAGTTCTTTTAATTTTACAATATATTTGCTGGTTTGATTACTATTGTCTGAATTCTGAATAGATTAAAAATGCAAAAATATGTATAAATTACAATTATTTCCATTCATATAGACATGTAAACCACATTTTCATAGTGGCACAGTGGTAACATATATTGAACTCTGTGTCATTATCTTCTTCTATACATCTTGGCTTTTAATTGAGCTTGTCAGTAACAAAAGGTTGCAAAAATTCTGAATTAGACTCTACTACATGTACTGTATAAGTAAGCTGTGTATATTCAGATTGGGTTATACAAGTACTTGTATCTGTGTAAAGAATTTCATTTATTTGATTAAGAAAATACTTGTGTAGGGAGAAAAGATTAAAATGATACATTGATGTTGGTGAACAAAAGTATTAATTTTTGTAACTTAGAATTTAAACCAGTATTGAATTGAGACATTGTTTTCAAGATACAAATCTGTGCTGAAGTTTACGCCATGTACGTGTATGTCAGTCAAATAGACACAATGCTCTTTTTCAATCTGACTCGGAGATTAAAAGTGGACCAAAGAATAGTAAGTTTCTGATATGTTTGGTGATTGTAGAATGTACAATTGGAACTATATATGTATCAGATAATATAAACAGTATTTTGTTTTTCCTCACCTGTGTGTGAAACAATAATGTATCTCTCTCTTTTGTTACTGGTGCTGTTAAAATTGAATCTATAATAATGATGATTAAATGCCGATGCATTGTAATTTCCTTTTTTATTTATTCTGCATGCTGGTGACTTCTGAGGAGTCAGTTCCTATGACTGCCAAACATGTTTGATTAATGATTGGGCAGCATGAGAAAATTGGCATGATCAGGTTGTTTTAAATTAAAATTTACCGGTACATTTTTAAAATTTTGATAAATTTATGGATGAATTTTTTCATTTATTTGTCAACATTTGCCCCTACAGTACAGTTTTTAAAAGTGTCAAGAATTATTCATATTATTTATATTTGTTTAACTTCAAATTTGCTGAGCACTATTTGAAAATTATAGGCATGATTGGGTGTTTAATTATTTAAATGTTTTTGCATTATAATATTATAAATAGAGTATCGCAATACAATTGAAATAATTCAATTATTGTTAGAAAAAAGTGTGCAAATATTGCAGTGATGACAGCTACATGGTCTTGTTTATGACTGAAGCCCACTGATTGAAATACATTATACACTTCATAACGTGTGTCGTCCACCATGCAAATGTCATATCCCCATACCGTGAGACACTACTTCCATAAAACTTCCACAGACTTGTGCATAAAAAAAATAGGAACAATGTTCTTGTTCAAAAACCAGTTTGATTAGATTTTTTCTCGAAAGCCGAGTCCTGTTCGGCTTGAAAGTAATTAATTGATGTTTTTCACAACTTGAAATTCTTCATACTCATTGATAGAAGCAATTCATTCCTGGAAGTGTTGTTTGTTAAATATTTGGCCTGACAAAACATATCAAGCTTTAGGCCTGAGATGACATGTAGTAGACAACTTGCGGCCTCATGTGACTTATCTCCGGGCTCCAGCCTGTTGTCTCTTCATGACCTAGAATTGATGACTCACGCTCTTCTCCAAATAAAACCTCTTTGTGGATATATGGAGAGTGGCTCCTCAACCAGCAGAAATATATTTTCAAAGAGAGGCTAGTAACAGAAAATAAGGTCAAAACAGCCGCCATATACAAAACGTGAACAGGTCTGAGAACCGGCCGGCAGAGTTATAAAAAAGAATTTGTATATCATGTAAGTATTCGATCGTAATGAACAAAAGCAATATTTTACATTGCCTTCAAATAAAGACGCTGAGGTGGTTTTTGTGATTCATATCTTTTTGATAATATCACGAGCGTCAACTTTAATCAGTGTGACTATGATTCATTACACTCAGTGTGGAATATTTTAAGCTAATTAAATTATTATGCCCATAAAACTTCTTCTTAATAGGCGATCGAAGTCACATGAACCGCAGTTTTATAAAGATAATGTATCACAACTCTTTATCACGTTGATCAGAATACTTTTAGATATAGAAACATGGATTAAATGATAATGTAGTTTATCCATGATTCGTCAGTCTCTCTCTCTCTCTCTCTCTCTCTCTCTCTCTCTCTCTATATATATATATATATATATATATATATATATATAATTTAAGTTTTGATTCATACTTGTATACTAGATCTGTTTGTTTATTTTTTTCTTCAGGCAATCCGGCATCTCCCTTATTNTATATATAAAGTTTTGATTCATACTTGTATACTAGATCTGTTTGTTTATTTTTTTTTTTTTTCAGGCAATCCGGCATCTCCCTTATTATAGCAGGGCTAGTTGTCCATGTGGTATTCTTCATATCCATCTTTGATATCTATTTCACATCACCGCTGGTGCATGGAATGACACCATTCCAGACACCACTGGAGCCGCCATCTAAAAGACTGGTGTTGTTTGTAACTGATGGTTTGAGAGCTGATAAATTCTTTGGAGCTGATAGAAGTACAGCTCCGTACATGAGGTAACCCTCATTTTGCTATTGGAACTCAGTGCCCATTCCCAATGTAACTGTCAGTCTGCATAGATTGATTAGATTTGCAGATTCACACAGCTCCTCTTGGTGTTGAGTAAAATAGAGAAAAGCTGGTGATTATAAGAGTACATTGGAAACAAAGAGACGTGTTAATCTGATTGCATTCAATGAGAGTCCCCCAGTTGGATCGCTTTAAAAAGACCTATAGTTTCGTTGGGAGTGCACCCTTACAGATCTGAAGTGCTATGAAGTTTTTGTTCTTAGGCTGATTTGCTAAGGTTTGGTTAGACCCTTAATAGCAATTATTATAGTTAAAATTTTAACTGAGTGGGCAATTTTACTGATTAAGTGAAAGTGATGAAAAGAATCTTTGTTCTTCATTTGACAGTCTTATTATAATAATCATATTAAAAATATATTGATGATGATAATAATAATGATTATTTAATTTATAATAATAATAAAACAAAGAGGCATACAATTCCTTCATGCATAGTGGACATAACATGATGGAAACTACAATTTATCTGTTTTCAGAGATGTGATAGAAAAGCGTGGTGCGTGGGGGATATCCCACACCAGGGTCCCCACCGAGTCTCGCCCAGGTCATGTGGCACTTATTGCAGGATTCTATGAAGATGTTAGCGCTGTGGCCAAAGGTAGAAAGACATGATGGATACCTGTGATTGCATTGCAGGACTTGGACTGAGAAAATACTGTATTTTTGTATTGCCACACACATGCACACACTCAAGCACTCACAACTGCCCATATAATTCATAATTGCACAGCCAAGGGTTTATTGACTATACTGATTCTGATATAGTTCAGTCTTTTTGGGTCAGACCTGCAATACGAATATAAATTCTGTGCTAAGCCACATTTATGTCATAAGCTCTCAGCATATCGTGAGTATTATCTTATGGTTGAAATATCTAGTCCAGACTTGTTGGTGATAATAACATCAAAAGTATCCTTTCTTATCTGTTTACCCCCTTATTTCTTTACAAGTAACTAAAAGTAAAAATAATTGATTTATAATAAACACAATGAATTGATTAAGTATAGTTTTTCAATAAACTGATTTAAATATTATATGTCAGATTGCTCTTCGTTTGTTGTAGGATGGAAAGAAAACCCAGTTGAGTTTGACTCTGTTTTTAATGAAAGCCAAACAACTTGGTCTTGGGGAAGTCCAGATATTCTTCCAATGTTTGCAAAAGGTAAAGGTATAAAGTGCAGGTGTGGAGTGTATTTTATCCACGTCTGACTTTTTTCTCTCATATTGAAATATGGTCTGTTAATTAAACACCTACAAACTTTTTTACTTTGAAGTTTACATTGTCATTGTATTGTAAAATGTGCAAAGAAAAAATAAAGTTAAAATTATTTTAACTAAAGTTTTATTTTTACTAGTTAAAAAATTGTAAACTCAGCAACAACTAGCCTTGGCTATACATTGGCAAAATGATGTCATTTTTTAAATTCAGTTTGATTATTTTAATTTAAAAAAAAACTTGTACTTGACACTAAAAATTCTATTCTAATTTGAGCCTTGATTCTACTCTAAATGGCCATTTTATTGNAGTTCTGTTATAGTATAACCAGACCTGTGTAGTGAATGTGTATTTTGCATGTTTTATGAAATGTGAGATAGACCTAACTCATAGCTGTTGATGTAATGTAAACCCAGTACTTTGGTTGTCATATAATACTATAACAGTGCTGATAATACTATATCAGCATTCTATAACAAGCTGAGTGTTTCTATCACTTGTTTTGAAGGCTGTTTTGATTAATCTATATGTGAAATTTGTAGTGTATAAGGATATGATTTTCCCCCTTTTTTCAGCTTTCGACTGAAATGGATACTTTATTTTGTCCAGAAGGACACTTTTCACATAGTGTAATATTATTATGGTAACCACAATTTTGCTTACTGTAAGTACTAACAACATGGACATAAACTCAAATTATAGTTTTTCTTAATTTTCAGGAATTTTTTGAAGAAGCAAAAAGAAATGCCTCTCTAGCAAGGCTTCTATCCCAAGATCGTATTGTGTTGTTTTTGCATCTGTTGGGTCTGGATACATGTGGACATTCTCAGAAACCTCACTCAGAGTAAGTAGTCATTCCCAGAAAGCCATGCTAAAAGAATGACTTTAAGTTTGTGTATTTTTTTTTTTTAATAAAGGATGTCGTGGACTACACCTGTTAAGTGCCTTCATACAAAAAAGGGTTACTAACCAACAGTATTATATAATACCAGTTAGTCCTATATTTAATGTATGTGTATTGCTTCTTTATATACATATTACATGTGGATTGATTTACCTACTATCCCTTTTATTTTTTAAAATTAAATTAATTAAAATTATTCTTCAGATTCATAATCTTGTCATTTAATATTATGTGATTGTTTTCAGAGAGTATTTGAGAAACATACATATTGTGGATGAAGGCATAAAAAATATAAGCCAAGTTGTGGACAGTTATTTCCAACAAGATGGCAGCACTTCATATATTATGACAGCAGACCATGGCATGACGAACTGGGGTGGGTATAGTTGTATTTTTTATTCCATTTAAGAAAATGAGATAGTACACTAAATATATTCATCCTTTAGGAGTGACTGAAAAGATACCAAAGTAAATAGAAAAATAGGAATCAAGTATACTAAAAAGAAAAGATTAACTAAAGCAAAATACACAATTTAAATGTCATTTTGTTACCAAAAAGAAAAATATCAAAATACATGAGGCCCCAGGAAAAAAGGAAAAAAGGCACTTGAAATGAGATCACAGGAGTGAAGTAATTTGGGGTTGAGATTCGGGGGTGGGTTAGGAGAGGAGGTGAGGGGGGGGACTTTTTTTTTTTTTTTTTGATAGTACAATCATATTTTCCTATACTTGGATTCATCAACTTGTTGTATTTCATTAAACTGGAGAATTTGTTGCTGTTTACTGACTTGGATTCAACAGACTGAAAAAAAAGAATGAAGAGCAGGTTGCAAAGTTGGTCTCTGTCAACTTCTGTGGCTGGCAATTTGTGGAAATAAGCATGTAATGCAAGCTTGAAAACTTGAATAAAACCTTGCCAAAACCTGTCTCCTGAGTTGGTGAGGGAGGACAGACCAAAAATGTATGAGTTTAAATACCTGTGTATTAATTGGACACTATGTCAACATGTGCGAGCCATGCCACTACTCAACAAAATTAGTGCCCCCCGACCCCCCGGCCACCCCTTGGGATTNTTAATTATTCTTTAGATTCATAACCTTGTCACTTAATTTTATGTGATTGTTTTCAGAGAGTATTTGAGAAACATACGTATTGTGGATGAAGGCATAAAAAATATAAGCCAAGTTGTAGACAGTTATTTCCAACAAGATGGCAGAACTTCTTATATTATGACAGCAGACCATGGCATGACGAACTGGGGTGGGTATAGTTGTATTTTTTATTCCATTTAAAAAAATGAGACGGTGCAATAAATATATTCATCCTATAGGAGTGACCAAAAAGATGACAAAATGAATAGAAACATAGGAACCAAGTATACTAAGGTTAACAAAATATGCAATTTCAATGCCATCATGTTAACAAAAATAAAAATATCAAAATACATGAGGCCCTAGGAAAAAAGAAAAAAAGAAAAAGCACTTTAAATGTGATCACAAGAGCAAAGTAATTTTGGGTTGAGATTTGGGGGTGGGTAAGGAGAGGAGGTGAGGGGGGGGGATTTTTTTTTTTTTTTTTTTTTTATAGTACAATCATATTTTCCTATACTTGGATTCATCAACTTGTTGTATTTCATTAAACTGGAGAATTTGTTGCTGTTTACTGACTTGGATTCAACAGACTGAAAAAAAAAGAATGAAGAGCAGGTTGCAAAGTTGGTCTCTGTCAACTTCTGTGGCTGGCAATTTGTGGAAATAAGCATGTAATGCAAGCTTGAAAACTTGAATAAAACATTGCCGAAACCTGTCTCCTGAGTTGGTGAGGGATGACAGACCAAAAATGTATGAGTTTAAATACCTGTGTATTAATTGGACACTATGTCAACATGTGCGAGCCATGCCACTACTCAACAATATTAATGCCCCCCGACCCCCCGGCCACCCCTTGGGATTTGGAAGTCTTCTGTCTTTTCTTAAATGTATTACTGGGAACATGTACGATGGAAAAGAAGCGTCATGTCTATTTAGGTTTTGTTGTTATTCATTTTTACAATATTGAAAATTCACTGAAATTATTCTATGACACAGGTGGTCGTACATGTACATCATTAAAGAAACCACCAAGTATTTGTAATGATGCTTGATTACAGCCAGTATAAGCTCTCAGAACTACTACAGTTCGTTATATTTGATGGAATTGTCTGTTTCTCTTTTTGAAGATCAACGGAGAACAATTTCCATCGCGTCTAATATTAACTATTAACTAATCAATTTTTGGAGTCCATGCTGAGGCATCTAAATAAATTCATAAAATGACTGTAGAATAGAACGCTGTATACACTTTCATGATGTAAAAAATAACATCGGTTATAATTTCAACAAATGATATATAACTGCGTTATATACGACAAATTGTTTTTATTCACCAGAATCAAGGTGACGGCCGAGCGTGGATGTTTGTTTACATATTTTCCGTGTTGTTACACTTTCGCGCCTCCAGTTTTGAAGAGTTAGTCGCTTCCCGTTTATCAAACTGGGTCAAAGATAGGAGTTCTACTATCAGTTTGGAGCCGTAACTTTAAATTGACAGACATAATGACAAGAAGGGCACTTTTTTATCAGATATAGCAGCTCATGTTTAGTTTACAGAGGATGAAAAATGGCCACGAACAGCAAATTTCCACTTGGGCTTCCTGCGTCATCCCCAGAAGGCGGTCGCGAACACTTCCTCACTTGTCCCCTCTGCCAGATTTGCCTGGACGATTTTGAAGATCCGCGAATGCTACCATGTTTCCACACCTTCTGTTTCAAGTGTATATCGAGTTATGCAAAGAATAATGGCGGCAAGTCAAGTTTCCTATGCCCTGTTTGCCACGAAAAAGTCCCGGTGCCACACGGGGGAATGAAGAAACTTCGCAAGAACTTTTTGTTAAAGAACGTGACAGACTACGTACCAGAGAGGCTCGACCCAAACCACCTGCCATGCCATCTATGTTGTCAGCACAGGTGTCATAAATGCCACAAAGTTATGACCCCAGTGAATCACATAGCAACTGACCTCCCCTCTGCCGCCTCTAACGGCAGTCTATCTCCAGTGAGGAAGCCAGCTAGTAGTCCCACACCTACCAGTACCAACGGATGCAGAGAACATGCTGCTGCTAGTGCAGACAAAGCAGCTGACGAACACAAGGATAAGATGAAGAGTTTAGCAGATCAGATACAAGGGAACATTCCCTCGGTTCAGCTCCAGCTGGACACGGCGTCCAGCCAGACAGGCGTTGTAGACCTCAGCCAACAAAAGCACAGCATTCTGGTCCCAGACATTGAGGCTCACACCAAAAAACTGCACAGCATTGTGGAAGAGCATACCAAGAATCTTGTGGCAAGAGTCAACTCCATCTACGACACCGAGACTGAGATGCTGAATAAGATGCAGGACAAGATAGATGCCCATAAAGCCAATGTTGACCATGTCGTCCAGTATGCTGAGATATTGACGAAGTTTGGCTCTGACTCCGAAATCATCCAACAAAAGCCAATGCTTGAGAACAGAATGAAGGAACTGATGGAGGATGAAGTGTGCCAGCCAGACTATATGGACAAGTGTCGGTATAATGCTAAAGAACTCTCAGAGAAGGCAATAGACGATGCATTTGAGGATATCACCAGGAAGCTTGCAGCAGTGAAGTATTCCCCACCCATGAAGAGAAGGCAGTTGGAGTTTGAAATCAATGAGATCAATCCACACCTGTTTCCCATGGAGATCATCGTTCCCTTTCGAGTTCCGTCAACACGCACCGTTGTTGTGAAAGAACTGCCATGTCAGACAATCAACACAGCACTTTTCAATGATCGTTTAGGTTGTGAGCTGGATGGTATCGCAGTGGATCCCAACAACGATGACATATACGTGGTGGATCGCATCAACAGTTGTGTGAAGCTCTTCACAGCCAGTGGCCAATACAAACTGCAGATAAATCTGAGGGCAGCCATCCCCTACCCGAGTAGAATTGCAGTGGTTGAGAATGGGAACATTGCCGTTGGCTGCTGCAGCACCCTTGTTGGTCTCCCTTGTGAAATTAGAATTCTTTCTGTACCCGCTGCCAAGAACGAACTGTCCATCGCAATGAGCAATATCAGAGACTTTAAACAGGGTCGAAGGGGGCTGTTCCTTGTGCTGAAAGTGGATACGGCCATCAGGAAGATCTACGTCTTCAAACGAGAGAAGGTAAAAAAAGCAATGGACATTCCTCCAGAGATCAAAGATCCCTGGGACATGGGCGTTGACAGAAAAACCGGCAACATTCTTCTCTCGGACATGCAGCACTGCGTCTGGATCCTGGACCAACACGGGGATATCCTGTCACACTACGGGGTAATTGGGATCAGTGGTTCCACTAACCACATGCTGTACAGACCAACTGGACTGTGCGCTGACCAACATGGACACATCCTGGTGGGGGACTCGCGTAATGCCAGGATTGTGATGCTGACACCCAAGGGAGAGCTGATGCATAATGTTGCCACCAGGGGGAACCTGGCCGGCCCTCTAGCTGTCGCAGTGAACAAGTGGGGCCAGTTGCTGGTGACCGACTGTGATGGAAAGGCCACGGTGAAAGTGTTTAAATACCTGATGTAAAGGACAATCACTGGTATTTAATATATAATAATAATTGTACTTGACAATGCCATACAATGACACCAGGCTTTATATCTGAATAGATGTTAACCCCTTAAATAATTATTTGTTTGATGTCCAAGACATTCATATGAGTATTGATATAAAGCTTTTTGTTAGAACTTGACATTTATCATTCATTTTCTCCTTATAGCAGCATATTTGCCTTACACTGAGAGAGAATTTGTATTTTGTATACTTACATAATTATTCAAGAATTGCAAGTGTGATCCATGTGGAATATAATATTATGTTTTCCTAGTTTATGTCAGAGTGCTTTGTAAATATTGATGCCAAGCAATATATATGTCTTGAACAGAGTGATGTATATATCTTTATCAATATGTAATTTACATCCTTGAAAGTTTTAAAATGGAAGCCAATAGCTACTAGTATATATTTATATATTCTCTGCTTAATATTTCATGTTGGAATGCATTAAGATTATTTAACGATTAATTTACATGTTTGTAATTTTTAAAATGGAAGCTAATAGCTACTAGTATATATTTATATATTCTCTGCTTAATTTTTCATGTTGGAGTGCATTAAGATTATTTAACGTCAAATTGTGATCTATTTATTAATAATTTTTATGTGAAGATAATCAGTTTTTTGTGCACTTAGAAATGTTTATATCTAAGAGTGATATTTGAGGATACTGTTATTATACAGTTTTGTTTGTATTTTACTCTCACTGTAATAACAAATATTCTTCTCATTCTTTCATGCAAATGTATAATATAGCAACAATCACTGTGCCATTGCATCACAATTCTACATTTAATATTACTTGTGCCATAAAATTATTTTTATACATTGATTTTGTTGATAATTAATGTGCTTTCATTTGATGAAAACAGCACAGGAAAGAGCCATTCCAATAAAGTTGATTGTCAAATCCTTAATGTTATTTATTTATGTTCTGCACTCAGGATGTTCTAAATACTGGCACAGATAGGTGTTTATTAGTAAAATTTGTACCTTTGAAGAAAAATGGTGAAAGTGGAGTGTTATTAAAGTGCTGTAAAGTGTAACAGTACATTTTCTTTCCTTTAATTTGCATTACACAAAATGTTCTGCATTCAAAATTGGCAATCTGAGATTGAGCTAACTCCATCGAATTTGAAATATTTTATTACAATTATTCATTCATTCATTTATTTATTTGTTATTTACTTGTTTATTCCTTGCGAAGTTCACCTTTACAAGACAGGCATGGCAGATGGGGGAAAAAGCTTTCCTTGGTGTAATGCCTCATGCTGGGTTATTATTATCTACACATGTGGGACACTGTTTCCTACATTATGTGGGTTATCACACAGATTGTGTCTCAGGTCACTTCACATAACATGATTCCACTCCAAGGCCTTAAACTGGCTGATAATATTCCTGTTAAAACCTCTGTGATCAATTTTGGCACAGAAAGCCCTGTTCTGCTGAATTGAACAATCACATTGATAAAAGCAGCATTTGTTTAACTAATCTATTAGTTATATATAATACTTGATATAAATGATATAAAATCAAACCATTTCTAAGGAGACTTAAAGGGTGTTTCTTTTCTCGCCAGGCATGTTCTTTTTGTCCATTGAGTCTCCTTATAATAAATTTACTTTTTTATCATCATGACATAATTAGACTGACAAACAGTTTGACTGCGTTCAGATTCGAATGTCATACCAGCTGGAATCATCCAACTCTGCATTCGAACTCTAGCTTAAGTCTAAGATCTAATAAACTCTGTTTATTAGATCTTAGCTTAAGTGCATTCAATGCAATCAGTATAACTGTCTGAAACTCCCCCCCCCCCCCCCCCCCCTCGAGTAGCTAGATAATTACTTAATTACCCCGTTGCAACTTGAAGAGGTCTGTCAGACATTTAAGCTTATTACATATATTGATTGCGCTGGGGGAGAATCTCCTTCAGTGATGGATCGATCCAGCTAGTATTATGGGTTTATCTGAATGCTCTCCATGTCATAGTATACTGATAAGATTGTATTAAGGAGTGCACATCTGGCACCAAAACATCTTTTATCTGACATGTTTGAGTTGTTATTTGTCCCCACCTCAGGCTTCAAAGAACTATTGAAACTAACTTGTCTTCCATAATCATCATGCCTCAGTCTGCTATTGTGGAGCAGTGAATTTTCAGTAATTTCTGGAACTCGGGGTGACCCGAGCCTGTCCTGTGGTAATTGGCCCCCTTTTATTTCACTTTCATACCCCCCCCCCCTCGCCCAGTGGTAACCTGAGTTACACAGCTCTTTCTGTTTGTGGACAACTTTTGGTGTTTAAAATGAGAGTCACGGTTCTGACTCTGAAACTCATATGAAGAATCATTCTGTATGAAAGCATGAAAAAAAAAACATTTCAGATAGCTGTTCTTTGTAGGTAAACTTTTGCTTACCTTCACTAGCAGTTATAAAGTTAATCTTTGACAATTCATATAACCAGGTTAATCTATGTGCATTTTTTCACTTTCCCAGCACTACCCTATATCAGCCCTGTCTGAGCACAGACCTTACAATGTTTCACTTAATTGTCATATCTGTCAATCACAGGTTCCCATGGCGCTGGCCACCCCCACGAGACGCTGACCCCCCTAGTGGCCTGGGGTGCTGGGATTAGAAGAGCCGTGCCACCTACCTCACAAGATGGATACAGCGACACTTTCTCTGAAGGTGATTAAAGTGGATGACATTGTATTTTAGTTGAGATCTTAGTAGTTTGTAAAAATTTAAGTTAATAAAAGTGATGGGGCCAAGATTTTTTAAAAATCATTATGATAATATAGATAAGATAATTTACAGCAATTTGTCACAGCATTATTCCAGCTATGTCTTTTGGCTATATATGAACAAGTTTGATTTTATAATAATTTTTTTATCATATGTGCTTATCTATTTTTAGATTGGAATTTATCACATTTAAAAAGAAGTGATGTCAATCAGGTAATTTTTTCTTTCTTTTTTTGGAAGAGCTAAGAGTGATAAGTTTCGATAATTATCAACTTCAAACTGGGATTAGATAATAAAAACAAATTCTCACATGCAGAAGTACACATATACTGATTATAATAGTAATTCTTGAAAGAACAAAATTGACTACACATTTAGTGCAATATTTAATTTAATGATAGTAATTTTTCTATTTGATTACAGGCTGATATTGCCCCTCTAATGTCCTCCCTGATAGGCATAGCTTTCCCACTGAATTCTGTGGTAAGTTGCATGCTCTGTCTTAAAATTCCTGGGAATGGATTCAGTGTATGTACCTGGTGGTAAAGTAATTGCCATGTATTTTATTGTTGAAATAAATAATCTGTTGTTGTTACATGCTCTGTCCTTGAATTCCTTGGAATAGATTTAATATATGTACCTGGTGGTAAAGTGATTGCCATGTATTTTATTGTTAAAATAGGTAACCTGTTGTCCATTACAGTTTATTTTACTAATTATGGTGTGGGAGATTTAAAATGAATCAAACAGTCAGATTAAGACCATATCTGCCTGGGCACAAATTTCCCTAGATTATATCTCCAGTTATTACTCCACCAACATTTAAACGTTTGATGATGCAAGTGAAATACAACCAGGAGTAGTAACACACATTTTTCTTTCAATATTAAAAAATTCTATAGACAAACTAATGGGAGAAAACACAACATTCTAATAACTTCAGTAAAGAGATCTGTGCTGATGGTGTTTGTGTCTCCCTAGAGCAACTGCCTTAGGATGGCTGCACTAGTTGACACTCATAGCTATTGCAGTGAGAAATGAGGCAAACAATATTGAATATTGATTTTTAATCAGTTAATTCATGTATTTATTCACACAATGTAAGGCTTTTAAGAGCACTATTAGGAGGGTATATCACACACGTATATACATCAAAGAAATTTTTTAATCATCTTTAAGCGTTGGCATCAAAGTATATCATAAAATATTAGTCAAAAAGATCAGCAAGGTATAAATTTTAAAGCTGACTGATCTTGTATATCCTGGGTTTAAGGCTTTAAACCTTTTCTTTGCCTTTTATCAATAAGGAGCATTTCATTAAAGCTAACATATGTTTTATATTATCAGGGACTGCTTCCATTAGACTACCTCAACAACACAATGGAGTATAAGGCCAAGAGTATTTTTGCCAATGCTCAACAGATACTGGCCCAGTATCAGGTAATGATAATAATGATAATGATTATGACGATAATAATGATTATGATAATGATTGTGATAATGATGATAATAATGATCATAATCATGATAAAAATGAAGAGTTCTTTTAGGATGGTGCTTCACGTTCATATCTATGCTGTGTACAACAATTATAATAAAGGTTAAAACAAACTTCTAAAGCATACCAACTAATATAGAATATGGCATGTACAGAGGATATTCCTTTTAGTTCCAATAATATTCAGATTTATTTGTTGAACATTGAATGCAGCAATTTATTTTCTGTCTGTTTTATTTTTATTTTTCTATATATTTTTATTTTTTACACATTTACAAAAATTTGAATACCAGAATAATTTCTGAACAATTCCTTAGGCAGTGTCAGATATTCTATATTTGGAAGGACTTGGATTTAAATGTTTTCATATTTCTAGGTTAAAATGTCACAGAAACAGGAGACAACCCTGTCAGCTTTATTTAAACCATTCATGTAAGTACAGAAAAGGAAGAAAAAGAGTTACCATGAAAGCAATAAGAACTGAGGCACTGAAAGAAAAGTAACAAAATAGATGTCTTATTAATAATCTTTTAAGTTTGTCACAGAATTTTTTTCAATTGTGTCATAAGCATCATTCGGAGAGAGAGAACAATTTAAATGACTCAAAATGATTTACATTTTTTATTCTTGATGCAGTCTGATTTGTCACTTATTAATATAGACCATTTTATTATTTGTTGGTTCACTGTTGTCTGCAAAATCTTATTTCTCCAGGCCCCTAACATTGTCCAAGCAGGTAAGTGAACCTTTTTTGCAGTTTATTAGAATAGGCCATGATGTTGTCAGATGTCCTGAAGTCGTTTTTACTCATCAGAATTATTTGACAATGTTAAAAAATAACTTTGGAATATTTAACTGTTTCTGATTTTCCAAATTGATTTGTTTGACTTTTGGCTCACATTGATAATTCATTCAAATTTGTTATTATTATTATTTTCAGGCAGACAAAATGAGATCAATAAGAAGTGACATTCAGACAGAGAAGTTTCAGGAGGCTGTAAGTGTAATGAATCTTTAAAAACAATTGTAAATTGTTGATATCAAGAATTTATTAAGAGATGAATCGTAATGCTTTCTTGGCCATAACTGTGTTGATTTCTTCTGAGAGGAATTGCAAAATTGGAACATATTTGAAAACAAAAATGCATTAGGTTGTTCTATATTTTAGATTGACCAATCAAAGGAATTGATACAATTGGCTTTGGACGGTCTGACCTATTATCATTCATATGACAGATTCTTCCTGGGGTAAGTTGTAGCAATCGTATGTTCAGAAGGCAAATGTTACATGATATAGTGGAAGAGTGATAGATGATTAGATGGCAGTAAATTTTGATAAACTGCGCATTGCCCATCAGAGGTCACCTATTCCAATGTGGGCCATTTAGAATTTTAAATAGTCAAAATATGATCATCACACACACTTTTACAAATATATACAAGATTAATCTAATACAAACTTCCATTGCCTTAGTGTCAGCGTTGCCTTTGGATTTTTGGGCTGGATGGCGTTTGTGTTCACTCTCATCATCCGCGATCACACAGATATTTCTAAACACCGCACCAAGATGGAGCTGTCGGACCTTCCAGTGTGGAGAACAGAGAGAGGTCTGGCAGTGGTGTTTGCAGCTGTTGCCATGACTGTGATTATACTGCTATTTGGTAATTGGCTTACTATAATTATTAGTTTTTTATCACACCATTATTTGTTAGTGTGTTCACTACGATGCAGTCAACTCGTGTTGTCTTGTAAATTGTCTTGTAGGCAGTGTTTTACCTTTTTATTTTGCTTTTGTTTATCTTTGTTAAATTAGAATATGTATTTACCAAAGACCACATAAAACATTTTGATGGTACAGTCATGTACTTCAGGATCATGCACACAGCTACACTTCACTGCCACCTGTGTGATGCAACCACTGCATAACCATTTGATGATGTCTGTTGAGCAGAAATCATATAAAACACTCATAATTTATAATGATCTTTTTATGCTACTTGTATTTCAGTTCAGAGTCTGCCATTCAGCCACTATGTGTATTGCCTGCTGCCTGTTATATTGTGGTGGGAAGTCATAAGAAGGTACTCAGCTGACAGTCACTAGAAACCTTAAAAGGACACCAAAATAGTTTGAACAAACTTTTCTGACACCTTCATCAATACCAATGTTACTGTTAAACAAAACCTTTTTTATTTGGCTCACTGGGGTATCCAGTGTCATTAAGCCAAATATTGGTCTGGAAGTATTATACAATCATGTTAATTTTGTGGCGGACCTTTAGAACGTCAGCACAAACTGTTTTAATAGAAATACGGGCACATTAATAAGCCATTGAAAAGTTCATGTAGGTTCTTAGTGGGTTTTATATAGTAGAATATTGTACATTGTTTTACTCTAAGATCCAGTTGAATTATTTCAATAATTTGATTTATTTTTCGTTTTTTATTGTTCTGCAATTACTATGTTTACCTCCACTAAAACATAATTAACAAAATATGTTAATGCAGCTTTAGATTTATCAGGACGTATAGTTTTGAAAAGAGGATATATCTTGTAATTTTAGTAATATTTCATTATAAATTATCATGATTATTATAGCGTTAGGTGAGACACAACTATTATTTCACTAGTTTAAAACATTTCTACTACAGGAATACAATATTGGAAGATGCTTGGAAGAATGGGATTAAAAACAATGTTTTAACAGTGCTGCTTATTCTGGGTATAGGAGGTGGCGGACTAGAGATTATTGTAAGTGTTTAAATTAAGGTGAATATACAGTTAATAATGCCTTATTTTCTTTTGAAATTGATATTTAAATACACATTCCCTTTATATCGAAAAACATGATTCATGTTCCAGTCTAGGATAGTAAATTTCTCAATTGCTTTTAACTACTGTAACAGCTTTCTTATATTATTACTATTGTGGTTATAATGCTGTATGCAGAAGTATACAATTATGGCAATTTTAATTTACATTTTTCTACATGTTGAAAAAAATAAAGAAGTTGTGTTACTTCCATTCCATGAGAATTTATTGCTGGGTTAAGTGTTGATTTTTATTTTTCCTCAGGTAATGGGTTTCTTTCGCCGTGAGTTGCTGTCAGTAGGGTTTATATCAATGGCCGTGTGGCCATGGGTTTCTTCTACTTCCAAAGCACACAGAGTAAGATGGAGTGAATTCTATAATATATCTTGGCAGTTGTCTAGTAAACTTGATGTATTAATTTTGACTTCCTTACAATAGCAAAGATTTATGGCCAAGGAAATCATTTTGAATATTTGTTTGATGAGTTTTTAATCTTCGTGTTGAAACAATAAATTTCATTATGGTTACCCTGGACTATGAGAATGAAAAATGACACAAATTATGAATCTGAGCTCAAAACAGTAACTTAAATTCTGTAACACTTGTCTTGTAAATTAGCATCAGATTTGCGATTTAAAATTCAACGTGCACCTTGTTAGTCCTGAAAAAAATTATTGCTCTCACTCTAGCAGTTAGGCAGTTCCTTCTGTAGATTGATTTCTATACTTAATGATGTTTATCAGTCATTATCATCTGTATGACTGTTTTATTGTATCTTGTGTCTATTTTCCAGAAGACTGTATTAGCCTGGAGTATATCATGCATTTTAGTGGCTATATTTCCAATGATGCCTGTGGTAGGCAGGGGTGCTAACTACTCTCTAGTGTAAGTGTAAAATAATTATTATGTGGCCCAGATCTTATAGTATGTTTGGTAGCCATATAATATTAATTTGGTGATTGGAAGGTAGATTTTACAAATGGTTATTGAATGACTATTAGACTGTGCATGAGATTTTATTTGATATCCATAAATGTTAGAAAGAAGATAGTCTTTGCAATTCGCCCATTAGCAAAATTAGACTGCATGCCAGAAATAAAACTTTCAGTCATTATATGCCATAATTTAAAGCAAACAATGATGCTATCCAAAATAATTTGTGATGATTCTAAAAATGTGATAACTCAAAAAAAAAAAAAAAAAAAACTAAATTGTTTTATGTTATGAATTGTTAATGAAAGTTTTTCTTTATTTCACAGCACTTTAGCAGGTGTTTTGGCCTTGGTGTGTGCTGTTATGTGTCTATGGGGGTAAGTGGTTTTCTGATGTGTAGAAATATTTTTCACTTTATTTCTGTCTGTTATGTAACAGTGTAGATGAAGAAATTAAGAATAATTAGTTCTGAATATTTTTCTATAAAAGTAAGATTATAAGACTTGAACTTGAAGAATTCCAATGAAAAAAATACATAAAGAAATTATACTTAATGATATTATGTAGGATTATCAACGTTACAATACACAAAATACCTATATATATATATTGTCAGTTATGTTTTAAACAAGAAAGTAATGCATTAGAAAAGTGAGAAGCAATTATGAAAATAGGATATGATTGTGTAGAATATGCACTGTTTTTGATTTTAAAAAAATTGACACATGATTTTATTTCTCAGCTTGAAATCATCAGGGATGGGAATTACTGGCCATGAAAAGTATATAAATTTAGGGATCCTACCTTACATTCAGGTGTGAAAAGTGAAGAATTTAAATGTATTATTTGTACAGTGTTTTAACAATTGTAGTATGTTTCAGTTTTTAGATTACCAGAAACTTGCATCTTAGACTAATGGATGATAAGAATCAAAAGTCCCTAAATATTCATTATCAACTTTTTTTCATTAGTAAAAAAAACATTGTCACTGGTATGTGAAATAATCTGAAAAACTGAAAGAATCTGTTATAATTATTTTGGCAAATGTGAGCTTTTTTGCTTAGTGCATGTAAATTAGTCACAGCAGTTGTTCATAAGAGATGATGGTGTATCAATAAAAGCACCACAAAGAGACTGTACTGTGATTTTGTCTTGTATCTCTCAGATGGGGGTTATCTTTGCATCCGTCTTAATAGTCACCACCACAGCATGGAGTATCAGCAACAAGGAGGGGCTGCCATTGGTCAATCAACTGGGCAGTTGGACAATATTAGGTTAGACTATTTAAGCGGACTAAATGATTGATTTGGTGCTTCTGTGTATAATATACTGGATAAAAACTGTTACAGTAATGATTTGCATTTTTCTTAGCTGTGTGACAAATTATGTTGAACTGGGGCATGCATATTTGACATTATCTGTTTAATTTCTTGTGTACTTTTTACAGTTTTACAAAATGTTGTTACAGATAAAACAGTTTAAAGTTTTATTGATAAAAAAAACTAATTTATTAATGATAAAATTTTCATCTGAAATTGATCAAAATGACATATTACAAACAACAGCATTTTGATGCAAAGTCCAGTAATAAAAAGCAAGTTTTTGTTGGGAGGATGGATGTTTATCACACACACACACACACACACACACTGATTGCTCCATAATTCTAAATATCTGCCTTCCAGGGTTGTCCATTATTCTTCCTCTGTTCAGTGCCACACAGTTGTATCACAGGTTGTACAGTATAGCCATGGCCTTGTTTGCACCATACCTCTTAATGAGCACAGCGTATCCTTGACAGTTTTTATTATTTAAAGCAATTTCTTTTTATTAACTTTTCCTTTTCTTTTCGTCTACCATTTATATTCTATATTAATATTGCACTGAACATAATTTGATTTTAGACTTAAAATAATAATTAAATAATAATAATAATAATTATTATTATTATTATTATTATTATTATTATTATTATTATTATCAGCTATTGTACCAACACTTGGCGCAGGCAGAGGCAGGTGATTGTGATTGAGGCGTGTTAAGGTGTGTTTGAAATAGTGTTCGGGGTGTGCATTAAAACTTGATGGAGTTTTGCTGGTTATCTACTAGTGGAATGTTTGCACCCTGAGATTCAGATGTGTTTCAAGTGTCCTCTGAAACTTGGTTTATGTTGATAAATGATGAATATTTAGTTTCAGAAGTTTAAGAAAATTGTTGAATCTTTTAATGGATATTTGCTGTATGGAACATTGTCAAAGCTGGTGAGATTTTCTTACAGATAGTAGACACCTGTGAGATCAGATGCTGTTTGAATTTTTCATGGTCTGACAATTCACTTGTATTCATTGTAACACAAACATGTACATGATAGCTTAAATTGATAACAACTGTTCGATTTGGCTAAAAAATGGATTTCCTGGGGTAAATAACAATTTTCCCATTATACTTACCAATGGTTAATGGATCCTTTCTGACATTCAAAATGAGACCATGTTCTCTTTTTATTTACAAAAAAGTTGTTTTTTTTTTTTTTTAATAATAATCTCCAAGAGATTTTTATAGAGTATAGCCATCCATGGAGGTCACGTGCTCCAATGACAAGCACAGATTCCAGAATAATTGCGCAAATTTGTTGGTAAAGGAGAAAATACTATAATTCTGTGAGCTGTTAACAATCTTTTTATTGTAAATATGAATCTTTTATGAAATATTGTCATACCTTTAAACCAATGGCACATCTAGAGAAATATTGGCTAATTGCTTGTAAATCAAGGAGACAAGAAGAAAAGACTGCACTTCCCTTTTTAAATAAGGTGGAGCTGCCAGGTGTCATTTAATTTCTTGATTTATTTTAGCTGTCAGTGCCATAAAGGTATGGCAGCATACTGCACTCCCTGTATGTGCCAAAAACTGTGCGGTGGCATTGATTGCTGCCTCCACAGACTATATTCTGAAACAAGTAACCCCATCACTAATGTGGAGTTGTTCATTCAATTAATGAAAATCTTAGATTAAAGGAAAGCCACCTGCTTGAACAGTATGACAAAAGCCTTCAGTAATAATTTGACCTTTTCCTTCAATCTGAGAATAATTGGTGATTTACACCAAGGTACTGGTGGTGAAGTTTCCCACTCGTGGTTAATACAATTTTGAAAAGGGTTCACTTAAGGTACTGTAAGACTAGCGCATTTCTAATCTGTTGGTATTGGCAAGGTACACATACTTATTAAATCAGTAGAATTATTAGTGAAAACAGGATTTTTTTCCTTGACCATGCACACAGCCATGAAGGCATGTTTTGTCTGGCTTTGTGTTTGCTGTTGTTTTCCTGGCTGCAGATGGAGTATAAATTGGCTCAGACAGAAAAGGTTATATTAGGACACAGATAAGAAAAGAAAAAATAAATGACTAAGTAAAATAGATAAAAAGTTTAATGAAAAGCAGGTGTTTATAAATAGAAGTTAGTGAACTTGTACTAAATGGCATGTAGCTCTGACTTTGATGTGCAGTAAAATATTAATAAATTATTTAATTGCTTTTAGTGACCACATTTATGCAGGAGAAATGAGTCCTAAAGTTAACCCTTATTTTTGTAATATACAACAGATCTATATTAAAATCAAATATTTGCCCATGTGATTGTAAATAGTTTAGCTCACCATCACATTCATTTTGGCTATTTCAGAGCATCAGTGATGGTCACAAGCAGCTGGTCAGGGCTCTGGACAAAGTGGACTTCAGCCAGATGGACACTGTAGAAAGACACCTGATCCAAGCTGACCTGCGATGTGCCTACTTCTTTGTATCCTTCATGATACAGAAATCCATTTGCACACAGATTTCTGACTCGGAGTTTGATGAAAATCATAGATTAAAGGAATGCTCACTTATTACTTGACAGTTTGAAATATCTTTAGGGACTTGAACTGAATGAAACTTTGAAAGATACCAGCTTACTTAAATCTATGGAGAGAATATTTTAATAGCCAGAAAATATAGTTCATGCCGTAGGCTGCCTGCCTTTATGCCCTTCCCACATATTTTCTTATTTTTATATTATCTGTATGCCTGCGGAAGAAATATTATCTGGCACAACTGGGAACTTTAAATTAATTGAACTTTTGTGCCATGGTACATGTATTTCAGTCATACCTGGAAGCAAGGTACTATTGAAAAGGCCCAGTATTTGGTCTGTACATCTGCTCATGCCGCAAAAATTGGGAAAAGGGAGAACTTGGGGATGGAGTGAGGCTGTCACCTTCTTTGAAACAGGGGATTTAATTATTACATGTACTTCATGATAAATCTAATTACCCTTGGTTCACCTTTGTTTACAATATTCTACTGTATTGTGACCCAGTATGGTATCCTAATTAATATATTCCTTGACTTGGAGCTACAGGTTTTTCTGATCATCTCTGCCTTCTTTGGCACTGGTAATATCGCCAGCATTAACAGCTTTGACCCAGCCTCCGTCTACTGCTTCCTGACTGTGTTCAGTCCTTTTGTCATGGGAGCTCTCATGCTGTGGAAGGTAAGAAAGTCACGGGGAAGGTGAAGTTGTACTTGACATTTGCTCAAGAGTGTGTTGATAGTAGTCTAACAAATGGCACAAAGTACCAAGCAAATTTTTTCATTGTGACCAATAAGTGTTTCCTTTCAAGTCATGACTTTATTAATATAAAATTTCCAAACTTCACACCCTCAAGTAAATGTTATTATTATTATTATTATTATTATTATTATCATCATTATAATCATCATCATTATTATTATTGTTGTTATTATCATCCAGAACCTGATTCCGTTCCTCCTTGTGACGTGTACCTTCCATGCTATCCACCTGAGCCTGCAGGTGCCCACCAAGAGTCTGTTTCTTGTGGTACTGCTCATGTCAGACTTTATGGGTTTGGTTAGTGGCACTTTCTCATTCTTAGAGTGTGGCTTTTTAATGTTATGACAACAATAACAGCACTAACATTGTTGCTGGTATTGATTGATTGATTTTGTTGCATATTTTTTTAATTGAAGTTATTTAGAAG